AAAACCAATTATATAAATTTGTGTAGTCTTATGTAATGCAGACCAAAATTTGAAGATCCTCAGCCATTAGCCAATCAAGATTGAGTATCTGCCATGACAATTTTGTTGTGGCGAATTTGGGTCAAAATCCCGAAAAACGGATTTCTAAAAAAACATAATACCGACAAAGTTAGTTAGCACTAGCTATAATGCTGGCTAATTTAGTTGGTGTTATGTTCTTTCAAAAATCTGTTGTGGTAGCCAGTGTTCTGCAGACCTGAATTGAAAACCAGAATCAAACCGGAACTGACTCGACAGTTAAAGTTCATTCTTACAATTTTTAGAACCAACTGGTTCCAGGTCTCAGATGGCAGGTACCTGGTAGGACTTGCATAGATTTAATCATCTGATATTTAACAAATAGAATTATAAAGACCAAAGTATACTGTTATTGCTATGTATTTACTGTTATGCTATTGTATTTAACTACAGAACTATTATTCATTTAACTATGTCAATCTGTTTAACCCAACTGCCATTATCAAAATTTTGAGCCAAAGATCTGCCTAAACTATAAGACAAATTTTAATTCATAGCATTTACTATATATTACACCATATCTCATAAATTTTAGTTTTTATTCATATTAACTTAATTGATTAGTGCAAAGCTCTTTTATTAACCGGTGTATTTAAAATGGTTTTACCCCAAAATCCCGAAGGCCATTTTCCTAAAAGAACATAATATTGACTAAATTAGCCAGCATTATAACAATGCTGGCTAACTTTTTCGGTATTGTGTCCTTTTCGAGAATCTGTCTTTCGTGATTTTGGAGTAGAACTATTTAAAATAATCTATTTAGTCAACTCTAGATATAACGAACTCAAAATTTTTGTATATCATTATTAGTTCAATGTAATATTGCTATGGAATCTTAAGAGATAGTAATTTTTATATAAAGCTTAGACTCACTTTCACTAAGATGTGGCATGGCAAATTCTGAGACAGCTAGTAAAGCGAATTGATAAGTTTCTGGCATTGATGGCGTTAGCAACTTATTGATACAGACTCGGTAACTTGTCTATTTGATCGTTATAGGCAAAGGTTGGTATAATGAGAAGCGATATTATATTTTGGGGTTCCGGGTCTCAATAGTTCTGTTCCTGGTCTAGGTATAGACTCGAACTAATTTTTCAGTTTGCAGAACACTAGTGGCAGTTAAAGTAGACTAGTGGTGGCAGAAAAATGTCGAGATCACATGATTGATGATCATCAAAAAGTTTGGTAGAATTTTGTTTCTTCCCTTAACATGTTTCGGGTGCTAAAGAGTATTGTATCACATAATTTGATGTCTCTCTGAACTAGAGTTGTTGGTGAAACTAATTTGAGCTGGTGAAACTGGTGACTATCTAAAATCTGATTGGCTGTTTACTATAATAGCCAATTAGATTTTAGATAGTCACCAGTTTCACCAGATCAAATTAGTTTCATCAACAACTCTACTCCGAACTAACTTCATATAGCATTGATCACGTGATCTCAACATTAATATATATCTGGAGCCTATAATTATCGAATATAGTAATGCATCAAAAACGTAACTTTAATCACGTGTGCAGACAGATATCCTTTTTAAATTTATGTTCTTGATTTTTATCGCTATGATGCATCAACAAGGTAACTTCTGGTACATCAAAACGTAACTTTTGATGCACTTTACTCGCCCATTAGATGTCCTCCGTATGCTCCAGAAAATTAAACATAATACAAGTAACTCTTAATATAAGAAATCTTCAATATAATAAACTTTCGATATAAGAAAGATTTTGCAAGTCCCAATTATAAATGTTATAATAAAAAGCTCTTGATATAAGAAATATTTCGCCGGCAACTTTCTTATATCAAGATTTACTAATGCAAGTTTAATAAAATATTTTTAAAAAATATTTTTTTAAAAAAAATAAATCTAATTATTATTATCTTCTTTACAATATAATGCATTTTTTCATTTCAAATCTGCAGCTACTTCTGAGAACACAAATATTAATTTATTGTTCTCAAAAAATTTTAATAGTGAACAGTAAAAATTTATACTGTGCAAAAATTTATAATAGTGTTCTCATAAAAACTCTAAGAACACAAATTTCAAACACTGAATATAGCAGCAGTATCATATGTGATCAATTATTGATAGGTGTTATATATTTCATTCAAATAATTTTTATTATATAAGATCTAATATATTTTGAATACCAGGAACGGAGTATAATGAAGTGTATAGTTACCTAAGGAGTGAAATGGTGTGCGCAAATATGTTCTTCTGGTTGGTTATACTTCGACATACCATTTTGTATGATAGATGCAGACCATTTCAGCATTTACTGTTTAGTTGTTAAACCAGTTCTATATAACTTATACAAGACGTAAATAACCGATGAAACATCATCTATGTATTTATCATTATTGTTATCTTATTTATGCATTTTATTCTACAAAGGTGACATTATTTTACGTGACATTATGAGAATAAGTTATGCCCTATTTTTTGATTGGTTTATTTTCCACTTGCCTATTAGTATATATTTCATGATTTTTTTTTTAAAAAAAAGTGAAAGCGGCTTAAAATCGATTTGATAAAATGGAATAAATACAAGCTATATGTCATTTTCCTATTAGGGTGTATCACGTAATGGTATAGATTTTCTATAAAGAAAGAGATTTAAATTATTTTATACCTAACACAATATCTCGTTTTTTGATTATTTTGTTTATTGGCTTCTAACAGCTATTACCATTTGTTAATTGTTTTTACTTAATACAAGCCTTGCTTGGTTAATCTTCTGGCCACGGTTAAAATGATTAATATACACAGATCGAATGAAGGCAAATTAAGCCCAATCAGCATAATGTAATTCTGATATGAAACTGATTTGAAATAGATATTTGGTGCAAATAGGAGACTTTAAGATACAAATCAGGTTCATATAGGCATTCAATACATATTGGAATGCTGATAGCTTTATAGGTAAATCGAAAAAGCTTGCCTTATAGCCTTTTCAATTTACCTATAGAGCTATTGGCATTCTGATATGTATTGAACGTCTATCTCTTAAACCGTTTGTCATTTCAAGGCAAATTTGCCCTGAAATTTTCCAATAATCACTTATATTATAACAGTGACAAAATAATAGCAAACATGATACCAAATTTTATATCACAATGTAAAAACAGTATTTATTTTATTGTTTATATTCATGATACTCAATAAAGCAATTTGTACGTTGCTTATTGAGACATAAAAGTACATTACATGTTTTGCACCACACCTGTCCTCGTGGTGAATTTTTATCATGTTTCCCTTGCTCAGCCATAGCTTTAAATCGGCACCAAACACAGGAACCTTTATCTTCACGATATATTGGGTAGTGACTTTGTGGGGATAATCGTTCAATGGGTAAGTCAAAATTTTTTGTAACATAAAATGGTCTTTGTCAATCATTTTGTAATTCAGACTGAAATTTTTCCTTCTTTGTCTGTGTATTTAATTGTTGGCTCATTTGAATTATTTCAAGTGATTCTTCCACTAAATTCCATGCCAAGCTTATCCTGAAATCTTTGTGTGCCATTACTAAATTAAGATTTTTTGAAATTAAAAATGTATTAACAATGCTGGTATCCATGAGCCAAAAAAATAATGGCATCCAAGTGCGACGTACAGGAACTTGTGTACCATAATATCCCCTTAATTGATTAGCTATATCAACACCACCCATATAATAATTGTAATCATCTATTATAGCAGGTATAGGAAGAACTTTTTTACTTTCATTACCAAACACACTTCGTATTTTCACAGCATTTGTACTAGTTGTACATGGTCTTCTTCTTCTCGTTCTACTTGATATTCCTCACCTGAAATTTCATATATAGACATTAACATGATCACTGGACTATTATCCATCTAAAATACAGCTAAAATATCATCTACAACTACTCCAGAAAGAGTATCCCATTCTAACTTTTGTGATTTTTTTTATTTTTAAACAAGTAGAAAATTTTGAAGTATTAGTTCTTACTGTTCCACAACCACCATATCCATTTTTTCACATATAACTAAATAGATTAATACTAGTAAAAAAATTATCCATATAAATATCAAATGCTTTACCCTTTGGAAATTGAGATATTAAATGATAAACCTGCCAACCAATTTTATTAATATTTGGAATTGAATTAATTTCAGAATTAGATTCAATAGATTCAATATGGGAAGTAAAAATAAAACAATAAGTATATCCTGAATCACATAATGAAAGTATTTTGTATTCTTCTGGTGTAGGTTTATTTTTAATTCATACTGTATAACTGCTTCTCCCTCTAAATCTAGTGACCATTTCATCAATTGAAACTTGTGATTTTGGTAAATAAATTGATTTAGAAACTTTCTGAATATGCGATACCAAGGGTTCAATTTTGAATACCATAGTAACTGTGATGTTTTTGTTTTAATTTTTGCAATATGAAGGTATTGCTTTATCTTTTATCTTAAAAAAAAATTTAATAAAACAAAAAACAAATTTAAATAAAAATTAAAAAAAAAAAACATAACTTGCTCAAAGTGAACTAAAGTCATATATTTAGTAATTTTATGTTGAGGATACTTCCAATTTGTTTTTGTAATCTTCCCGACTTGGTAACTTAAAAACACCCATATAAATTATTAGAGCAAACCATATTAACAATTCTTCAATTGTTAAAGAATCCCTTTTATACCCTTTACCAGCCGATTTTGCAATTGCATAATAATTTGTATTTTCAATAATAATATTCAATTGTGAATCAGAAAAAAATAGACAAAAAATTGAATATGGAGTAATTTTGCCAATAGGTAATTTATCAGCTACTTTTACTTGAGAAATATGATATGATTTAGCATGCTGAAATTTTTGAAATTGCAGTAATAATAGTAAATTTAATTGAGATACTTTTTTTTTTTTGTTTAACTATGTTTATTAATTTTACTAATTTTTTTTTTTGTTTTTAATATTCGCAGTTTCTTCTTCAGCTTCGTCAGCAGTTTCCTCTTCAGTTTTATTGGCAAATTCATCTTCAACTTCATCATTATCATTGTCAGTAATATCTCTAACTTCATTTTCAATTTTCTTCTCAATATTTCGTATAAGCTCAAAAATATATGAATCAGTATCTTCAATATCATCATCCATATCGTAAATCTTGGTTGAAAAGTAATATTAAAGTGGTATGTAAAAAAAAAAACAAGTAAATAAGAAAAATTACAACGATCGTAACAATGATCGTAACGAAGATCGTGATTGACAAAGCTAATAGAAGATGATCGAACCAAAAAAAAACAATACATTATATAATACTAAAAATTAATGAATTTCTAAATAAAGAAAAGTCGGGTTTTTTAGATCAAATAGGTAAAACCTTAATTTTTACCATGATACAAACATTACATGAATTACAAATCGAACTTCAAAAATTTCTGCAGGAGAAACGGTTTAAGGGATAAAAGGTGAATCAAAAAATGCAACGTTCATAATTCAGTTTGGTTCAGTATCGATCCATTTTTGACCAATAAAAATGCAGAACCTTTGAAAATGTTTGTTTTTCTAGTTTTTTCTACTAATTCTTTCTTTTTTTTGCAGAGTAATTAATCCCCGAAGGTAATTAAAAGAATCAGGACATTAAATTTGGCTAAATATTCTTATCTCTACTAGTGAACTAATGATAAATTTTAAAAAAAGATTCGTAACGAATAAATAAAATTATTTCTTTTGATATCCTAATTATCAAAATAGAGTTACCAAGCATTATAATGTAATTTTAGCTATTCTTATAAGGTTTTAGACAAAAATCAATAATAAGAAGGTAATATATCATTGCGATTCACACAAGCATCATCCTTGTTATTATTCGTTGATAATTGTAATAATGCTCAATTGTCTCAGCAGATCAAGATAAAGGCTTTAATCAATGTTTGAGTTTTAAATTGTTTATTAAATGGCATCAAAAATTTTGCAAATACATAAAAAAAAAACCATAAGAATAGCAATATATTAGATATATTAGTATGCTGACAACTTAAAAAAAAAAAAAAAATAGAAAATTTAGCAATAATTTTATTTACTTTAATTAGTAATAACTATAAAGTTTTGAAAAGCAATAAAAAAAAAAAAGAAGATAGCTTAGGGAGAATATTTGTTGGTCAGAATATTAGACAAAAAGCCAGGATGCATAATCTTGATTGGTCTCACTCAAAAAATTATTTTCACCCTGTCTGAACCTTCCACAAACTTTCTGAAACCTTTTTCTTCAAAATAATAAATTATGTGTTTCGTGACTTATTTTTTTAATGATAAGCATGAAAATACCTTTTACTATTTAAAATTTAGGGGAGTTTACATATAAGGGCCCAAAAAATGAAAATAATTACAAATAAACGCCCAAAGAGAAAATTATTACATATAAGGACTAAAATAACTTTGCGTTATGATGATAGTGGTTCTTAAAATGCTATAACTTTATGTATGTATTAATTAATACATTTTATACTTACCTTTCGCTTAATGAACTTTCTTTTAACCAAGAAAAAATTCGACTAGGTTAATTACGAATATATTGTTATTGTAATGTTTAAACTAATATGTTTATCTATCGCTATACCAAACTAGTGAATCAATATTTTGTGAATGTACTAAATGTCAAAAGACAATCAAATTTATATAATTTATATGCAAAAATTTGCAATTTGACCCTCGATTGTAATATTTTTTAAAATTTGGGTCCTTATATGTAATTATTTTCACTTTGGGCCCGTATTTGTAATTATTTTTATTTTTCAGGCCCTTATATGTAAATTCCCCTAAAATTTAAGTCATGTTGAATTACTGATTTATTATAGCAATTTTTAAGAGGGTGTTAACAGTCGTAAATCCAAAGTCATGGATAAAAATTCACCAGATTTCAAGAGCGGACTTTTACAATAAATTTTTTTCATGCGTAGGTCATGTAAAAATCATCATTTGTACAAGAACCATGTGTGTGCAATTAAAGAACTTTTAGTGAGCTTTTGGGAACTATATTGCATTTAGAAATGATGTATAATTGTTGCTATTAATCTATACTCTTATACCTAATATACATAAAATAGCATGAAATGTTTTTAGTCCATAGATAAAAAAAATTTATTGAAATTAGCAAGCAATAACAATACAATAACATGGTACAATGCAACTTATGCTTCAACTTCTTTTCTAAATCTATCTTTCTACTCAATATTCCTCACCTGAAATTTCATGTATAGTCATTAACATGGTCACTGGACCATTATCCATCCAAAATACAGCTAAAACATTATCTACAACTACTTCAGAAAGAGTATCCCATTCTAACTTTTGTGATTTTTTTATTTTTAAACAAGTAGGAAATTTTGAAGTATTAGTTCTTACTGTTCCACAACTACCATATCTATTTTTTTTTTTTTTTTTTTAATATTAAAGGTGACCACTTAGGCCATTGGCATGAGCTTTATTTCGGATAGTTACGATATTACATCAGATTCACGAGGATACAACTAGCCACATGTACACCTTTTGGGTATCTAATTTAAGTAGTTCGCCTGGGTTCTACACTAGCCGCCATACCTGCAATCTAACTAATAATATGTTCTTACTGTAATTAGAATATATTTCTTTTTATATTTTATTAGAATGAAGTACTTTCATGAATTGAAAATTTGAGATATTATTTTAAATGGGAATTTGAACAAGAATTAATGATCTTACTAGATGAAACAATCTCATATGATCCTTGTATTGATTATTGTCTTCTATATGCTTTCAGAGAGTGCTCTGTCTTATATGTTTCGAGATATTCTAAGTGTGAACAGTTTTATGAGTTTTTTGATCAATTAGAAAACTGTATAACTAATGATTATACAGCACAACTATATGAAGTTCAAGATCGATTAAAACATTATTTAGGTTACTAAACACGAAAGGTTTATCTTAATGCTCAATTCAAAGCAACTTTAGCTCAGTTAGATTTCAATGGGGCTTTAATTGTAGCTGATTATAAAATGAGAATTCCTCCTAAATCTGCTTGTAAAACTAAAAAAGACTTTTATAGTAAAAACAAATTTTTTTATTTAAAAAAAAAAAAAAAAAAGGATCCTAATAACTTAATTAAAAAAAAAAGGATTCTAATATTCTAATTAAAAAAAGAAGAAAGGCTCTAATTAAAAAAAATTTCATTAAAAAAAAAAAAAATTCATCAAAAAAAAAAAAATTGTTAAAAAAAAAATCGGTAAAAAAAAAAAATTCATTACAAATAAAAAAAAGTTGTATTCCGAAACCATATTCTAATTAGTGCAGGTGTAAATTATCTTAAACAATGAAGAAATAATAAAAGACTCTGAAAATAAATACCATGATTAATAAAGAACACTTGATTGAAAAAAACATACCAGTAATTATAAAAAGACATTCTTTAAAATAAAAAAAAAGGTTTGCATTTTAATAAAAAAAAAAAAAAGATTATTACCAATTCTACTTTGTTAAAATATGTATTTCATGCAATTCTGATTAAACATTCAAATAATCCAAAACTATATTCGTTACAAGTTCTACAAAGATTACCCAAATCGTTCTGGTATTTTAGATATATGCAATTTGCAAGCCGGCCTATGAAAGAGGTTTTTTTCATTCCATTCGGAAAGATTTGCTGAAACTTTTTCCAAAGAGAAGTTTTATTATCACATAAATAAAGTATAGGCAAATTCGTTTTTGGATCTATCTTGTAAGAGCTCATTGTTACATTATCCTTATCCAAAAAAAATAATTCAAACTGTTTCTTCTTAAATTTGGCCATTAATTTAGTTTTTTTTTTTGGCATTTCTGTTGGTGATGCACCAGCACCATAGAGACATATATGCTTTCTAGCTTTGTATATAGTTTTTAATATTATCTATATTTTAATAATAAATTATATTGTATTAATAAAATTTTTTAATATAAAATGAAAATTTGATATCTTACACTTAATTCACTTTGAAGTTCTTGATAATGAAAGTCAAGTGCAATAATAAAAAGTATTTGAATTTTTCTTTTAGCCCCTCTTTTATTAATATCTAGTGCATTGCAAAAACTATCTCAAAATTGACAATTTGTTGTAACACTACAAGGAGAATTTTGATCTTGTATTCGAAGTAATTCCTATTTATATAAGTTTTGTAAGGTTTGTTGATCTGCCTAAAGATCTACCACACATGTCCAGAATTAAATATCAGATACTTCTTTTGAATATGGCGTAATATTTGTGCATCCACAAGCTTTAAATATTGAATGCCAAGCAGCTAAGTCTTTGTGTTGAAATGTAAAATTAGATGTATATATGCTATATAAAATTTGTAGCATCTGAATTATTAAGCTTTGCTGTATGATCCACTTTGTAAAAAGAACTTTCCAATCATCATTAGGCATTGCAATTTTTCTATGTTTGATATGTAGATCAAAAATTTGTTGTAAAACTAACTTATCATCCCAATAAAGTGATGTACATGTTGTATGTATATTTTTTTTTATTCTATTTGTTAACAGATCTTGGACTTTTGAATCTTTTAACCCAAAAAGTGCAAAATGATTCTTATTTTGATGTATTCCATATTTTTTTCAAATATCAATTGGTGTATTACTGACAAATTGTTGTATTTTATTTTTACTCTTAAAAATCTGCAAACTACATTCAGTATCCAAAATTTGCTGCAAAATAAGATAATACTCTAACTCATAGCATGTTATTAAAGATGATATATAACCAGAACCAGCATATAAAAATCTTTTCATGAAGAATATCCTATTTTTGATACTACAATAGAAAACTTATCAAATTTTATATATAATGGAAAAAAAGAAACATCAGTAAGTATTTCTAATATAATTTTTTCATTATAAAACCCAAATATTGCTAAACCTGAATGTTCAGTTTGAGTTCTAAAAATTTTATTATATAATAAGTTGATAGCGGCTGAAGGAGTATCTTGTATGTTATTAATTTTTTCACCAACAGAGTATAAAAAACCTGGTTGTAGAGGGTTTGAAGATTTATTAACAATAGATAAACCAAATTCATAACCATTTATTTGAGTTATTACACTCATATAAAGATGAAAAGGAAGAATTAACAAGTTATTATTTGAAATTTTTAAATCTTGAATCCACCAGTCCCAAGCATATGGTTTATAATAAAGATTTGAGTTTATTTGACCTTTATTTACAAGTCATACTTTGTATTTTTTATTTTTTGACATTGTTTGTAAGACGATCTTTCACCATTCTACTAATATTAAATTTTTACGAGTAAATGCCCATTATATATAACTATTAAATATCAATCATTTTTGACCCTTTAACTATGATTTTCTACTTAAATATTTATGCTGCTACTGCTACTTCCTACTAACTCCTTATCACTTTCATTCTCTTCAGAAAGAGTAAAAGTTTCCATATTTTCTAATATAGACTACGAATACTATATATATATTATGTGATTAAACTTTGTAATACTAAAAAAATATTCAAAAATTTTCGAATATTTCTTACTATGTAAGAAATTTTCAAAAATTTTCAAAATATATTGTATAATAAAACATGATTATACCAAATTTTTGGCAATTCTTTCTTTCATAATTTTTTTATTAATAATTAATTTTTCGTAGTAGGGGCTTAGAAGGGCTTGTACTATATCTATAGCAAATACTATTAAGCCACTTTCTGCATCATCCTTTCTCCAAATTTTTGTTAAAATATATGATATGTAATATCTGATATATTTCACGGTCCCTATGCCCATAACATTTTGATTAAAATTTTACTGATGATGTAATATCGTGTGATATTTTTTGATATTTTCACGGTATTACATCATCATAAAAATATCATCAGAAATGTTCATGGGAGAAATTAGGGACCGTGGAATATAAATATATTATCTAGGTCATTTACAACAATTGGCAAAAAAAGTTTATAATAACAGTTCTTAGTTTTAGTTAATTATTTCCAAGCAAGGACTTTTTTAGAAATAGCATTGGTATCAATCTTGTTCAACATGCTATTACCAAAAACTGAAAATACCGCATCTTTAATATTAGTTGTTAAAGTACTATGTTTAGATCTTATTGATTTTAGAAGCTATAATAATAATTAAATATAATTAATAATATAATAAAAAAAATTAAAAATTATAAAAAATATAAATGAATTATTAACCAAATTATAGAAATTTTTCTTATAGTATGTATCTTAATGCTGCCTCTTATTTCTAAAACTTGCAAGAAACTCAGAATTATGATCACTCAGATAATCTATAATAGCATCTTTTAGCTCATCTTGGGTAGGATAGACAGTTTTCTTTATTAGAGTCTTTGAGGCTCCCTTTATAGTAAACTATTAAAATTATATAATAATATTTATATAAAGAATAAAGATTATGAATCTAATTGATATATATAAAAAATATACAAAAATATACAAAAATATACAAAAATTTATTAAACATGCCTCAATAAAAGACTTTTCTTCTGTAATATCAAATGTAGCAAACAACTTTTCTTTTACCGCTTTTAATCTTTCATCTATTCTCTCCTCCATCAACTCAAATCTCTCAATTAGTTGATCAAAACGAAACATCAACTTTTTCTGATTATTCAACAACTTTTTGAAGTAATTTGCACTTTTATAAATTAAATTAAAATAATTAATATATTTCAAAGTTTTTAGCTAATTATGAAAATTTATGCAGTATTCAAAATTGAATGATAATAAAGTTTGTAAAACAAACTTTATTATCATTCAATTTTGAATATTGTATAAATTTTCATAATTTATTATTTAATTTGAAAGCATAAAGTTTATTCAATTATATTCAGAAGCAAATGAAGGTGCAGTTATAGGAGCTCTAGAAATATCTGACATGAAAGAATATCTGTTAAATAGCTCAATTAGTGGAGGATCCATAACAATCTCTCTCGATTTTTCTTTATCATGTTTAGCTTTTTTAACTTTTTTGATTTTTTTAGTTTAGATGCAGAAGACTTTGAAGAACTAGCAGGACCTGAACCAGAACCTGATATATGAGTGTACATTTTACTAGTTTTTTTAGCATTTTTATAATAACTCATTTTTAAAATTTTGAATTGTAAAAAATTTTGAAGCTTTACTTTTAAAAAACCTCTTTATATATACAATTTATTTTATTATCTAATGTAATCAAAGATTTTTAGTAATTATATTAGAATGACTAAAATGTAATAATAATAACAAATTATGCAAATAGATTATGAAACTTTGAAAAAAAATATAAAGATAATCGAACAAACCCATCATGTATTAACTATTTATAGAAACATTTAATTTATATACATTAATATGTAATAACTTTAATAAACTTACATAAATATTTATAATTGTT